ATGTACGCAATTTTTTGCCCTACAAAAGGAGAGGTTAGTCATTTAATTTAAAAATATAGTCAACATTCTGTGCAGATGATCTTTTAAACTCTTTTAAACTGCAATATAGCCGTCAAGACTTTAATTTCCCACTATGAGATCGCGGGTTCAAATAGAACACATTGTCTATTGGGCTCAATTTTCTGAAGAAGAAATTGAAGCCCAACCGAACATGGAAATCCACAAATCCAAATTTCAAAATCATGCGTTTAAAGTCATCATTAATTAGCAAGTTAATGAAAGGAAATTTCTGCATTAAAAATCTGTCTTAATTTTGAATTAATTCTCATTTATTTAAGAGATTTACCATCTTTTATTGCTTGCACACACATCGCCGCAGTCTCAGCAGATGGAAAGAATTTCACGAAAATTTATTCCATACTTGCGGTGCCCGATCTACATCGTTGATCACAGAGAAGATATATTTCGGTAGACCTCATTTAATTTAACGTTGTGCTCAATGGTGTAGATCGGACCGGTTTTCACGGGGTAGAAAGACAAATTATCCTTAAAAGTAATTTCTTTTACAAATATACCAAGTTGGTGATTTTGTTTATTTATGAGAAATATAAGGAGAATAAAAACAAAATTACAATTTTCAAACTGTAAATATTTTATTTAATTAAGATCAAAACAAATCATGGGCCTACATACGCCATCATTCTTTTAATGCTTTGCATAAACAACCTCTGATGATTATATTATATCAAATCCTTAACACATTGAAAGCAATAAACAAATAAATTGCCAGCCATCTCTATTAAAATCTTAAGAAGGGTGTTGGTCATTTACATACATACCACACAATTCCTATGTATTTACATATCTAACCTCTAAACTTCATTTTTCTTATTTATGCCCCCCCAAATCTTTCATATAAAATAAAAATATCACATTTTTAACTTATTTCATGCATTGGTAAGGCCCGCAAGGCAGCATATATGTACAATTGAAATTGAGGAATTGGGTACGTATGTAAATAGGAATTGAGGTGTATGCATGGAAAGCAAACAAATATAAATGGAAGGCAATCTTTACATACCACTTGTTCAATACTTTGCTGACTAAGCAGCACCACGAGACAAGATATACATTGAGACGCAACGCAACAAATTTTACTAACAATTAAATATTACACATCACTAAATGATAATGTAGAATGCAATTATGGTCATAAATTTAATTTAAATTTTTGCCACATTTGAGCTATATATTTATGCCTCGTCCTACGCTCTCTACCCAAATGGGAAAGAAATTGGCTCATATAAATTTTCAGCGCTAAATTGCTATATATATATATATATATATATATGTCGCATGTTCAGTTGGTAGACATGGTCAGTGTAAGTCTCCTCTGGCAAGGGTTCGATCCCTACCGTGGTGCGTGGGGGGTCGAATTATAGAAACATGACGCAGGGTTCTCATCAAAGTTAATTTAGTTTCTTACCCTGACTGCAAATAACGTAAACTTTTATGTGGAAAGTTTTGTTGGTATATATTAAAGCGCATGAGACGATTTCTTAAGCAAAATTGATAAGTATTTATTGCATAATTTGAATTTATCGTCAAAACTGAAGAAAAAAAAATTTCCATTTGGTGTTGTCTCTTTTGTGCAAGAAGTTAAATCTATATAATGCTAAAGTATAAATACAGTTTGAATGTTTTATAACTCTTGAGTTTAATTTACTATTATGCATTGTAAAATTACAAGTAATACAAAAATAATATCTTGTATTTAAAATATTTTGATATTATTTTGTTTGAGGTAAAATTTTATGTTTATTTATGATGGATTGAAAAATAACCTATTTCAAAATATATAAGATATTATTGATGCGTGGAGAACTGTGCCAGTAATAGAGGGCAAAGATAGTGGTGGGTGGAGGGCGGTGACAAACCGGCGACTGACGACTGACAGGTTGCCGCTTCTCTGGTTGTCTAAAATTTCAAAGTGATTTAACTGAATTTAAATTTTAATTGAACCAACTTTTTTTTTTTTTAATTCAAGAAATTTGAATTTATAGAATTTACCAAGTCCTATTGAAGTGAAATGCTGTGGGTGGAGCCAAACAGCTCCGAAGACTGAGTAAATTGTAAAACGTGGTCCCTTAACCAGTCTCCCAAAAGAATAAAAAGGCACAGCAGATATATTCCTCACACATCCCACTAGTACACTGTGCGATTGCACAATCAGGAAGAGCTGATGAATAATACACAACATATGACGAATATATAGAAAGCCAAATAGGTTTGAAGCCTATGCGTATCTTATCTCCTGCTTTCCAACTAGCGCCCTTCAAGCCTCCACTTGGACATGACATCATATTTATTGAATTTTTACTTAGCTTTCTTTCTCAATCTCTCCCTGCTCCCCTCACCGCAGGCCGAATGGAGCTCTTTCTTCTTCTTCCCCAACAGGACAAAAACAACCCTCCAAAACTAGCTGCAGGAATGCCTTCTTCTTCCTTCACCTCCTTATAAAACCAAAGCTATCATTTACACTCTTTTGCGCACAAAAACTCCTCCCCCCATACATAGATACAAAAAAGACATCTTTTTCCTAGCCATGTGCCAATCCCCCGCTTCCATTCCCACTGCCTTTAAGCTTTTAATCGCCATCAATGAATCCCCTTTCTTCAACCCCAAGCTTTCATTCCCTCTTTCCCCCAATTTCGCGGAAGCAAAATCCCTCCTTTCCCTCGCCATCCCTACCGTCCTCACTTACCTTCTTCTTTACTCACGCTCCATGATCTCCATGCTCTTCCTCGGCCGCCTCGGCAGCCTCCCCCTCGCCGGCGGATCCCTCGCTATTGGATTCGCTAACATAACCGGATACTCTGTTCTATCCGGTCTTGCCGCCGGAATGGAACCCATCTGCGCACAATCGCACGGTGCCGGCCGTCCAAACCTCCTCGTACTCGCTCTCCGCCGCTCCATTCTCCTCCTCCTCTCTGCATCCATCCCCATCTCCTTCCTCTGGTTCTCCATGCGCCGCATCCTCCTCTTCTGCGGTCAAGACCCAGCAATCGCAGCCGACGCTCACTCCTTCATTCTCTTCTCCCTCCCAGACCTCTTCCTCCTCTCCCTCATCCATCCCCTCCGCATCTACCTCCGCTCTCAATCCATCATCCTCCCATTAACCGCCGCCACCGCAGCCTCCGCCTCCCTTCACTTCCCCATCAACTACCTCCTCGTTCATTACCTCCATCTCGGCATCCCCGGCGTTGCACTCTCCTCTGTTTTCACCAACCTCAACCTCGTCATTCTCCTCCTCCTCTACCTCCGCTTCTCCGGCATCCACCGCCGTACTTCCGCCGCAGATGACACCTTCTCCATCGCCGGCTGGCGATCACTCCTCTCTCTCTCCATTCCAAGCTGCGCCTCCATATGCCTCGAATGGTGGTGGTACGAAATCATGGTCCTCCTCTGCGGCCTTCTCCACGACCCGCAATCCACAGTGGCTTCCATGGGCGTTCTTATACTAACAACATCCTTAATCTACATCTTCCCCTACTCGCTCAGCGCCGCCGTGTCGACTCGCGTGGGGAATGAGCTCGGGGCAAACCGGCCCGATAGAGCCCAACGGGCCGCCCGGGTTGGGCTGACTTGCGGTACCCTGCTCGGGCTCACAGCTTTTCTTTTCTCCTTCTCCGTTCGCAACATATGGGCCAGAATTTTCACCACCGATTCAAAAATATTGAATCTCACCGCCACGATGTTGCCGATACTAGGGTTATGCGAGCTCGGAAACTGCCCACAAACGACAGGCTGCGGCGTGCTGAGGGGTTGCGCGCGGCCGCGGACCGGCGCGAATATAAACCTCGGGTCGTTTTATGGGGTCGGGATGCCGGTGGCCATTGGGCTTGCGTTTTGGGCCGGGCTGGATTTAAAAGGGTTATGGCTTGGCCTGCTTTCGGCCCAAGCTACATGTCTTGGGTTTATGCTCGTGGTTATTCACCGGACTGATTGGGAGAAGCAGGCTGACCGTGCGCAATTGCTTACCGCCGGCGGCAGTTGTTCGGACGGAGATGAGGAGGTGGATTGCAAGCTAGTTAATGCTAAGGTGGAAGAGAGTGATTTAGGATTTGTTTGAGAACACAGTAAAGTTTCGTTCCAATGTTTGGATTTCTTTTCGTTTGGTGAAGCGGGATCTCCTACAGTTATTTCAACATAATGGTAACTTTTTCATTGTTTTAGATCGCAGATGGTAATGACTGTTTGTCGGAAGTGGCTTTTGAAGGAATTTGATTAGTATACTGAGGGAGGCGTCTGTCTTGGGTTTATACTGTGGTCCGGGGTGGTTTGGGTGCTCGTAAGAGGTATGGGACTAAACAACCCTTTGCATTTTTTTTTTTTCTGAAAAACAATCGTATAAGGCTTTGTTGAAAGGATTGTTTGTTTTGATGTACTATTGAGTGTAAAGCAAAAGAAACATAAGAATTTCACAATGCATTTTTCTTTTCTGGACCTTCGCTTAATTGGGCCAACTCTCTAATGTTCCAAAAATTTTTCTGTGCGGACTCCTGACGTAGCTCTACGTGTGGCGCAGAGTATTCCTGAGTTTTTTTCAGGTTATTTCTGAGTTATTTTCAATAATCCCGAAATAACCAACAGTTTTGATTTTTTGGTTATTTTTTAGTTATTTTGGGATTATTGAAAATAATCCAGAAATAAGTCGAAAATTACTCAGGAATAACCTGCACCGCACGTAGAGGTACATCAACCGAAAATAACTCAAGAATAACCTGCACCGCACATAGAGGTACGTCAGGTGTATGTCCGAATAGAAATTACACGTCTAATGTTCACCTTATTGTTATTGTAATTGTTGCAGCTAGAAAATACACGTATAATGTTCACCTTATTGTTATTGTAATTGTTGCAGCGTTGCTCAAACGCTGCTATTCATAGAAGCTGAATTTTTATATTTTTCAAAACTTGGTTGAAATGATAAATAAATTATTATTTCATTATATTTAATTTACATTACAATGAATCGGATGAAAGCCCAGATTTATAATATATTTTTTATAATTTTAATACATTTACTTAAATAACCCCTTTAGAAGTATGTAATTATGCAATTATGTTGCTTTTAGAGTAGGTCCATTTTTAGATGCTTGATGTCTTAATTCTAGTCCTATTCGGATGAGTTTGAAGCTGGATGGAAACTATTTTGAAAAAAATTGCGATCCTGCCACTGGGCGCACCCCAACCAGACAATTATTTATTTATCTTTTTTTTTATTTTTTTTATTTTGGGGTTAGTTTTGTTAATTTAGGATATATTAGATTTGAATTTATGTTAAAATTTGTATAACGCATGAATCCGTATAGGCTCACTTTTATTCTGATTTTAAATTTATTATTATTATTTTTTGGGTTTCTTACTAGATGTACATCGTTAGAATATTCTAAGTATTTTCAGAAGGAGCGGAAGACTGTAATCAAATTCGGGCAATTCGATAGGACAACTCAATAAATCCATTGAGACGATTTTGATAGACTCAACCATATAATACGATAGATTAGCTCAATCGGCTAGTTCAACTAAATTTTTCATCAAATCGGTCGGCAAATAAGTTCAACAGGTTAACTTGGCAAGTGAATGTGACATTCTCAACTCACCCTACGACCAACTATCGCTATACTGCATAATATGCACACCTAGCTACATCATTATTATTGTTTTGATATATTTTTCTTTTTATTGTAGCTATGTATGCAAGCAACCTTAAGGCCAACTCAAACCTTTAGATAAGGGAGGTCACCAAAGGGCGCAGGGGACCTCTCTTTTCTCTTATGACTCTTACTCTTTATTATAAACTCTTTGTTTCTATTGTACACTCAAGAGATAATACATTTTCTCTCTTTGTTAGTGTTCCTACTCTCTTACTCTTACATGTCTTTAACTAGTCGGTGTGAGACAAACAATCTATACTCAATATCCTTTGAGGCCCAGTGAGCTTGAATAATGCAACAAACTATAAGAGGAGCTTGGCATAGAAAAGAAGCACACATCCAAGAAGATTTTATGAACATAGAGTGCACAAGATAGTTTGTTGTGCATCAAATTAGTTGAATGAGCATGTGATGATGCTTAGAGAAGCGTTGGACATAAGGTCGAGAGCGATACATAGAATTGGGATGTCTCATGTTCTTTAGAATCAGTGGTTCAATTAGGAGCTATGCTAACGATGAGATCAAAGAGAGTTCTACCATCTAAATTGGCTAAAGATGATGAGACTTTCTTCTCCTATTGATCACAATAGGGAGAAAATAACAAAAGAAATGGAGAGAGGAAACTCATGGAGAATGCTTTCTCCAGGGGGATCCTAAAGGCATGAGCATTGAAGAAGTTCAAGATCATGTATCTAGAGTCTTATAAAATAATATATAATTTAGTTTGCCATTTAGCACCTTTCGAGTCAGTTGTTTGCCTGCTAAGAATTAATAATGCGTTAAAGTGTCGATTTTTGTTTATGATTTTAAAGAAATCACATTTTCCTGATTATAAAATTTGACATTGGGAAGAATCACTTCTTGTTAGGAGTTTAAGCTTATCTTTAGTGTGTTATTTGTGAGCGCACAAAAATCTCAAAAGAGTTTGTAGGCTTTATTGTGAATTTTCCTAGAGACATAAGAGAGCAAGGAGCTTTGTTACTCGCCTACAAAGGAAGATGTTGGAAATGAAGGAATAATAATTGTTAATGCTTAGTTGTTATAAATTGTCAGTTTTCATATATTTATTGGAGAGTACAACTCACTATAGTGATTATCTAGTGCGAAGAAAGAATAAGAAGTGACAATGTCAATTGAGGAGAAACTTTCATAAATTTTAGGATATTCAAGATTATTCTGATTGAAGGGGTATGAAAAAAAAAGTTTAAGCGGAATTCAATTCATCTATTTCAGGAACATGTTCGGTTTGAAGACTGAAGAATAGATAGGAGGTAGGAGAGGTGAATGTTGCCTTAAATTTTCCCTACACCAATTGTAATTCTATTGAGTTTCTATAGTTGAATTCAATGAATCCATTCATAATAAAGAATATTTTAAGCGACCTACACTAATGAATACAGGAGGTTACCCTCCTTGACACAGAGAAAATGTGTATGTATCATATAGATCATGCTCACGCCTCCTTGACACAAAGAAAATGTGTATGTATCATATAGATCATGCTCACGATAGTAAAAAATGCCATCATCTGATGAGTTTAATTGAATATTTGATTAAAGCATGTAAATTAAAGTAGTTCATCATGCTGGAGGCAAAGAGCCTTTTCTCGCACAAGAAATTCTTATTGCAGGGATTATCCTTATAATTATTGGTGATGATGGGCTAGAAGCTTCTCGTCAATCTAGCCTCAAGTTGACTTCAATCCGGAGAGGTGAACTTGATGATTTGTTCTTAGGTACTAATGGTGAGTCAACAATCAATTATATGTATTGATGATGATATACCTACGAAGGAGAGATGCAATGATACCGATAATAAATTTTTAAATTGATAATATTTTGATAAACACTCGGTGCTCTTTGAATATCCCACTCAAAAATAATCTATGAGAAGTTGATTTTGGGATGCTCAATCTTGTTGTTGTGCTCATTTTTACAATTTAATACATCTCATTTTTATCCTTAGCCTATGATCTAATTTTAGTGTATAGGTTCTCCCATAGAATTACCCTTAGCAGAATTCTTAATAACAAGGTAGATATTGGAGCAAACATTGAACCAAAAGTCAACTAGTCTACCTTAGTTCATAATGAACTTAAGATTAGTCATCAAGTCATTCACAGTGAAGTTAACCAAACACAATTACGTTATGAAGAACTTTAGAGTAAATCAAGTTAATCCTTAGAATCCAAAGCACTGCTAGGTTACCCTTAAAAATGTTGAAACTTAATTATATAAAACTCAATCTAAAGCCATAGGACTCATTTTGTGAGCCCATGTAACTAACCTCAACTCACCTTAAATTTGGTTTACTTGATTAATCTTGTTCAAATAAGTAAACATTTAGTGACCCTCAGGGATCCACTAAATCAAATGAACTCAAACACTCAAGTGTTTCCTCTCAAATGGACGAAATCGAGTTATATGTTATTAGAGTCACACATGGGCTAAATCTAAAATTTCCAAAGCCTAGATTAACCTACTTTGATTTAGTAGACCACTCCTTGGAACTTTTGTAACTTTATATCAAATCAAACAAAATGTCCCAAGAGATTTAAGTTAATCATCAAAATCAAAATTCAGGCCAATCATACTCAAATTAGGCCACAATTTATTGTTAGCTTGAACATGATCCGTTAAAGAGATGTTGGGTCAAACTCATCTTAAATGAATGTAATAATATGAAATACAATTTGAAATCAATTCAACTAACTAAAGCTTAAGTTGAAGCAAAAAGCTTCAATTGGGCTGGTGCTTATTTGTTCCAGTTGAAATAAATATACTAAACTAAACTAAACTATCTCAATTCAAAACCAAAGGAAATCAAATCAAAACACATAAATCATTAACCAAACTTAATTTAATTAAATTAAAATCAAAGCCAATTACACCTAAATTGCACTAATAGGCACACTTGGCTCAAATAGGCTAAATTAAGCAAACTCTATTTAAATTTGAACCAATCAAAAATAAATCTAATTCGATCAAATTTTAAACCAAAATTAATATAATTAAATCTAAATTGAGGGGAATTGAGCTAAAATTTGTGAAGTCACCAAATTGATCTAATTTGACCCATTTGAACCATAATGGCCCAAACACAAATAAAACCCAAATTAAACAGATTTAATTAATATTAAAAGTTTTTAAATCATTAATTAAGTTTGATTGAAGCTCAACTAAGGCCTAATCTGGTCAATTGGGTCATTTAACCCAATTTGTTAAATTGGTTCTCAATGAGTCAAATATAAGTTAAATTCAAATGAAATCAAATTGCACTTCTGCAAGAGTTTAAAATCACTAATTAAATCTAATTGGACCCAATTCAAGCTCAATTAAAATCAAATTTGCTTATGCGTTGACCCAAACAAACTATATTGAAAAACAAATAATCTAAACCTAAATAATTAAAATTAAATACTTCCAGAAGCTTTAAATTATTAGTTAAACTCAATCGAACATAAGTTAAGTTTAACTGAGTTCTAATTTGAACAAATAGGCCGACTGATCCAAAATAACCCAGTTAAATCAAATTTAGTCAAATTCAAATCAAATCAGGCTAGACATTCCAGAAACATTAATTGAATTAATTAACCATAACTCAACACCCTTTAAGGGCAAATTTGGTCAATTGGCTCTCTTAACCCGTTCAGCCCGAATTGACCCAT